CAGAAATCTGCAGTAGCGGATCATTTGCTCACAAATTATTTTGTTTCTTCCACCTGAAATCAAATTTAAAAATAAAACTGTAGACGCTAACCTCTGTGGGCTCCATGTTTACTTCTGTACGTCAGCGTGCTGCGTGTGACGTCGTAGTATTCTTTTGCACATGCGGGTCTATTTCAGACCGTGGCCGGTTCACAATAGAGTCTGATATGAGCTACGTTTAAAACATAATGTGGGCAATAAAAGTGAGCATTAAGGCCAGCAGGGTGAACATAGCTAAAGTGATCTGAAAAGGGAAATGTTTGAGACGAAGGGATCGGTCTTCGTCATTTGGATAAACCTCAAAACATGAAGATCCTCTTCCTTTTATTATTATTATTTTTTTTAAATTTTCAAACTTGTAGTCTTCAGCCTCAACCGCCGCATGGTTAATATCACTTGAGGCAATTTACCAGACTTCACACCAAGCCACAAAACACTGTATAGAACTTTTTTCACAAATGCAGTCATCACATAAAAGCTCAATTACCTGATTAAAAATGCTTAAGAGCTCTACTCGTTCCCCCTCTTTGAAATATCCAGAATCTATAAATATCCAAATATTTCTAAATTCAAAAGTTTAACTGAGACTAAGAAGTTAATTTTATATGCACACGTCACACCTGTAAATTACGTATTGGACCACAATTAACTCCGGTACGTACTATCAGAGAAACTTTCTCCATTCAGCAGATGACTGTGAAAACAGTGTTTAAGTACCTGCACATACATCAGTCTGCACAGTGAAGGTCAAGCATCCAAATGAAGTAAGAATGCACAAAAAGGCATTTTTGAGTGCAGGGGGGGCTTTAAAATCAACCACAAGGGCATAAACACGCAGCAGTGGAAATGTATACTTAACTGTGTTGCTAGTTCTTAGTTGATGCATCTAGCTAAAAGAATTTAAACATGAGCTTTGGAGGCTGGGAGGACGTCAGAATAAATGTGTCACATTTGGAACAATATTTGGTGAAGAACAGGAGGACCGGCACTGTGAGCGTTTCATCCGGAGGAATGACCTCAGAGCTGCAGAAGGAGGATCTGCAGATAAATGTGGTTCCACTCTGCGCTCACTAGATTACATTTACGGTCTGTGTGCCCATGTTTGAGTTCGATTGAAGTTTTGTGAGCGCTCTGTCCCAGTGCAACTTTGAGATTACATATCCAAGCTGTGCCGCATTACATCATGAAAAGCAGGGCCAGTGACTTATTCAAGTGTAATGGGCAGTATAAGTGCTTGCTCGCTGTGTTCGCCTCTAATTGTTCACAGATGTTCTGCACGCCTTTGTGTCCCACATCTTGTTGCCGCTGGCTCACAGGCATACAGCGTTCGGACTTTATTATAGAGGGGAAACGTGGCATGGAGTAAGTGTTTAATTTGGCTGTTGGTTCTGTCAACTGGTTTTTGGGTATTTATTGGGCGTTACACTCCATAACAAAGCATAATAGACTCTGAAACAATAAGTCAAATACCCGATTCGTCTACTATGATTTTATATAATTGATCAAAGCAAGTATCCACCAACAAGCCTGATGACAAACAAGTGGAGTCACAGAGGAAGTGAAACGAGGAAGCGCCATCACAAGCAAATTCTTCTTCACCTCCTGTCAAGCTAGGAAGAATTATTTTTACTACAAACTGTTCCACATTCTGTCAATTACTAACAAGCACATTTCTGAGACGGTTAGTTGATTAATCATGGCTGAATGCCAGAAAACTAACCGGCAACTATTTTAATAATTGCTTAATCCTTTAAGGCATTTGTCAATTAAAAATGCCAAAGATCCCCAAGTTCCGTCTCTCAGTTGTGACAATTTGCTGCTTTTCAAGCAATTTGGAGCTGAAACGATCAGTCACTTTTTCACGAAAATGTATAAACTATTAAACTAAACTATTTTGATAATTGTTAAATGCATTTCTAAAGCCTCAGGTTCTAGCATCTCAAATGTGGATATTTGCCGTCATAGTAAAGGAAATGTCGTTGGTTTTGGACTTGATTGAACAAAACAAGACATTTGAGGACGTCGCATTGGGGTCTGGGAAACTAAATGATAAATCAATGAATGAAATAAGTCGTCAACATGTTAATGTATAATAAAAATACTTGTTAGTTGCAGTCATAAAACAGAGGAGCACATACTATAGGCCTGCAGCTAATGATTAATCTCATGATCTGCCGATTGTTTTTTCTATTAATTTATTGATCATTTAGTCTATGAAATGTCAGAAATAAGAATAAATGCCCGTCACACTTTCCCAGAGTCCAATGTGATGCCTTCAAATGTCTTGTTTTTGTCTAAAACCCAAAGACATTAAATTTACAATGATATAAAACGGGAGAAAAGCAGCAAAAAGTCTCACATTGGGGAAGCTGGGAATATTTGGCTTTTTTTTCCCCCACTGGATTTGCTTAAAATATGGTTAAAGAATTCATCGATTCATGAAAACATTTCTCGATGATTTCTCTACTGATCAGTTATTCGACTTGTTTCAGCTCGACGCAGCAATGTCTTTTGTGACACTGACTCAGGCATCTTGAGGCAGAATGTGAGTTTTATGGAGCGAAAGATCTTACAGCCTCTGTAGGTCTGTCAAATATGACTTTGTTAGGTCGTAGTTCACCGAATTTAAAGGGAGGAAAGAGCGACGGGACAATCATTTTGTCAGATTGAAGACTAGTAGGGGTGCGCAGACAGGTCAGAGCCTCCTGCAGTCGGCCTATCTCTCCAGCTTCGCCCCCCACCTTCTTCTGCATAAACTACCATGCTTTGAAGATAGGCTGGGCCGGAGCTGGGTCCTCTCCTTATCAGCTATCAGTTCAGCCCTTTATCGCCCCGCTGTCTGATGCATGCAGGTACTGTAGTTACCATGGTTATACACCAAAGGCACTTCTGGAGCCTGCATTAGCATTGCAAAATATTCATCAGTTACCCCACGGAGTCTGCGCAATACAACAGAGCTCACAGCAGGAGGGAGAGCAGTGAGAGCATCATCCTCCTCATCATCATCACGACTGTTTACACGCACACAATGCAGATATTTAGATCAAAGGAATTATCTTCGCCTGCATAGTCCCTTTTGAACTCAGCCGCCTCATCTCAAGCTTGTTGTGATTGTTTGTATGCATGTCAGCGAGAATATTTGCAGAAGAAGTCGAAAAGAACAAGTCGAAAAAACTGCCAGAGCCCGTTTTTATCAAATGATTGAATATACTTGAGGAATCCTGATAGTATGCGAGAGAGCAAATGGCTCACACTAGCTGCAGAGGACTCATTCAAAATCCACCCTACAGAGGAATCTGTGGTCATACAAACATTGAAGTTGGCAAAACACTGCTTCAGCCTGCTGCAGCTGTAACAAACATTCAATTCATCAGTCTGGCCAAAGAAAATATGGCTTGGAATGTAGCTTTAATCAATTCAAGCAAACCGGGTCCCCACAATGTCCTGGTTGACCCAAAAAATGATTAATTTTTAATGCAGACACAATCAATCACAACCGAGATTCTCCTCTCAGATTTATTTTTTGAGTTGTGACCCGTGTTAACTTGGATTAAGGTTTGTAGATAAAGAATCACAGCGAGAGTTGGAGGTTTTGTCTAAATTCAGGCTGTCGTTTTTTCCTTTTGTGTTGAACAGTGTTCCTTTGTGCACCGCTGCAGTTTATTTTCATTTGTCTTAAAATAAAGTTGTTATTGAGGAGCTTTAAGCACCCTCCCCCCCACTCCACCACCACCACCTTTCAATCCTTAAACCCTCTCCCACAAGGTGCTTAGTGAACTGCTGGTACTTCTGTATTTTCAAGTTCTCGTGAGCTTCCTGTTTCAAAAGCTCTCGATCAGCTCGACCTATATGCCTTGAAAAACATCTCTTCCCATGGAGATTGTGTTTGTTGGTGTGGATGGGGAGCAGATTGTTTGGAGGCTAAGACAGGAATCTCCATATATAACCCCCCCCTCCTATATTATCTTTTATTCTGTACCATAAATAGGTCTTCCTCTTGGCCAGGCCTTGGGAAAAGGATGTGGATGATGAGAATGCGTTGCTCGGCTGAGTCCTGGTTGAGTTTGAGCCTCTGCGGCTGGTGGCCAGATGTGGCCAGATGTGGAGACACTACCCACCGCCAGATCACTCACGCTCCTCCTATACCTTCTGTTATCAGCCGTCATTGTTCTCCACATGTGTGGAGCCTGTATCACAAAGTTCAACTTAGTCCGGCTCACTTTAGGTTACCTGGCTTCACTGAACCGTAACTGGTGATTTGTTATCTGCTGCTGTTAAAAGGGAGCACGCCTCATGATCCTAGAAATTAGAGTTAAAGGCTAAGTTAGGTATTTTTAAAGCTGGACCCTATTTTCCCATGTTTTTGTGTCTATATGACTTATTAACTGACAGGCT